ACAGAGTGTTTTGCAAGAAATTCATCTTTAGTAGTACTAAAAACCCACTTCAAGCATCATGTTGAGAATAATTAATTCCCTTTGTTTTTAGGTTTCCTTGGCCACCTACTGCTACATCGGTTTAGGTTTTTACTTACAGGGAGCAGTGATAATTTCAATTAAATGACTGAATCTCAATAGCAAATAGCCTCTAACTGTGAGCAGTTAAGACCTCAGTAGCCAAAATCGATGTGACAGGTTTATATTGGAAGCAAATGCCATCAAGAACCTACATCTCTATGAATGAAGCACATGCTCCAGGCTTTAAGGTGACAAAGGATCATATGACTGTGCTGCTGGGAGCCAATGCCAGTGGACACTTAAAGCTTAAGTCTGTGGTGGTGTATCACTCCACCAACCCACGAGCCTTGAAAGGTTACCTTAAGTCTACTCCAGGCATCTAGTTTAGGTCAAACAAAAGAGGTTGGATGATGGGGCAAATTTTTTCTTACCTTATTGTTGATGTTTTGGAAGACGTTTTTAGAGAGTATTGCAGGAAAAAAAAATTGGATTTCAAGATTCTCCTCAGCCTCATCCAAGCCATCCTCCCACCATTGGTGAGCTTTCTGAAAAATCAAAGTGCTATTTCTGCCCCCAAACACAACCTCTCTCCTTTAACCACAGGTCCTAGGAGATTACAGTGCTCATGCATGGTGAGTATGGAAGGGGTCGTCATGATGCTTGAATGAATGGGACAGATTTGATCAACATTCAAGGCTATGGGTCAAGTGCTGGAAAATGGGACTGATGTAGATTTAGAGTAGTTTTTGTTGCAGAACCAAAGGGCCTCTTCACATAGTACTGTATGACTCTATTAACAGTCTTTTCAACCTTCTGAATGAATGCATGTTTTTTTTAAATCCCCAATTTCAGTTCCCCAGCAAGATTGCTTTTTCAAAAAGAGACATTAATCACCACACAGTGGGCTGAAATTGCATGAGTAAAATCAAAACTGATACTCTTAAAGGATTTATATTCACCTCCACTAGCCTAACGGTGAAACAGTCAAGCTGCTGGCAACAGTTAGAAAACTTCTTATTTCTTACCTACTTGTATGTAATGAGCTTCAGAACTAATAAGAATAGTAAACAGTTTAGTGAAATTTCTCTTCTGTCCTCTAAACAGATCCAACAACAATAAAAATTACTGGGAAAGGTTTTGAAATTCAAATACAAAAGCAATTTAGAGAACATTCTGCATAATTTAGTACATCCATTTATTGAAAACATGATTCCCATTTGATTTGATTTAGATAAAATAATTGGTGTAATTATTCTTTGATGAGTCATATTATAACAGGAGGAAATTAAGATAGGACAGTCCAAGTTCCTAAAGGCAAAGGAAATTATTTAGTTTTCTTCATGGTTTCAACAATGCCAGTCATGAAGGACGAGCTTTGTTCTCTAGCCAATCATCTTAGCCTTTGCAGAGTTAAAAATACTAAAAAAAAAGTCGTCAGGAGTTTAAGCAATCACAGGAAAGAAACAGAATATTCCAATTTCATCCAATTCTGGTCATTAGTTCAAAGTAATCTTGTGAAGAGAAAGTACAAGAGGCATGTGTATAAATAGTGCCTAGTATGTGAATGCAGAAAGTTGAATAATTATATTACATTAGAGTAATGTTTTATGCAACTACTATCTCACTGAGCATTCAACATAGAGGGATCATACTTTGACCTTTCAATCTTCATAATTAAGAGATATGCCATTAATATATTTACTCACTAAGCCAACAACAAAACTATGTATCACAGTCTTGTATTTAGCAATACATTTATTAACTGAGATTACATTGTAATGTATGTAATTTAAATTGCCATAAGCAGAGATGAGAAATATTAGTTGAGACATTTGCCACAGCCCTCTATTCAAGCAACTTGACATCTTTTGAATAAATTATGCAACAGAACTCTCACTCCCTATGAACTGCAGCAGCTCCAACATGGAAATAATTACCAGGTGAGAATAAACCAATAAGGGACAGGGAAGGTCATGGCAAGAGCACAAAGGAGCAGGGGAGGGTGGTGATACAGCATGAATTATTAAAAGTTCCAAATAAATTTGACAATATGAGTAACAAAAGAGCATCATTTACATGTAATGACCAATTCTGCTTGGTAATACCAAACATCTTCATCGGTGACAAATATGGTCTAATGCTGCAGTCACACTACACTATACTTGCTCTTAGTATGGCACTTCTCCACTTTTAAATCGCTCATTTCATTCACAATGAAGACGGTTTAAGGGTACTGTGGTTATCATAGGGATATAAACAGACACTTTTGGTTCTTTATGAAATGGTTGCTGACCATTTTTCAGCTAAAACATATATACACAAGCAAACTTTAATTCAAGTGATGTTAACACATTCTGTTTAGAAAACTAATTCTATAATTAGCAAGAAGTTCCACTAATAATTTAGCAATAAGTATGCTAATTTACAAAATAAATATAAGCTATCCTTACCATAAAAACAATACAAGTTTTTTTTTAAACCAGAAATATAGACCACAAATGGCAAAAAAATTGTGACAAACAAAACTGTTACCATTACAGAGTTAAAGATACCAGATTATTTTTCTGGGTCCAGTATGAATTAAAGATAGGGAGAAGGCAGTCAGGTTAAATGTAGAATTGTTCAGTTCAGTAGTGGGTATCCTTCTAGTTGTGCTCACTTCATTTTAAGGTTCTTTTCTGAATGTCTCATAAGGTATTTGGATAGCTGAAGTTATTCTACGACAGAATGAAGTATTGTTGGAGGAATACCTGCATAAATACTGATCTAAACTATAATGAGAACTTGTTTACAAAATCAATTAAATACTATAAAAAAATGGCAGGAAGTCAACTCACAGAAAAGTATAGATAACAAAAACATCAAATACAAACCATGCAAAATTAAAACAAAACCAAGCACGACCATAATTAAAAGCAAGTCTTTTGTAAGACTGTATTGCCTTATTGTAAAGCTGCTAAACAAAGTAGTCTAGAAGTAGGATTGCAGTAGTCAAGCCAATGTTTGTTTTCCACTTCAATTTAGTAAAATAAATCAAACACATTACTAATAACTTTACTGATAACCAAATAATTTTGTTAATAAGTAGCATGCTAACACACATGTAATAAAGTAAGAAACTACCATTCCCAGGCAAAACAAACCTTTCCGCACCATTTAGCTATTTGACAGGAATCGAATTAAGGCAAGTTTCCTCATATGAAAATAGCAGTTCAAAATTCTAATTTCACATCAATTTTACACTTTTTAGCACACTTCTCATTTTACATTACATCAGTACTTGATAAAATACATTTAAAAGATAACACTATTAGCAAAATTTGCTTAGCAATAAACAAGAAGCCATTACATTTTTTTCCCAGTGCTGGGGAGACAAAGGTACAAAAGTCAAGACAATAGATTTGATCAGATTGCATTAACTTTTTTTTTTATATTTGAGGTCTGCCTGTGTGGATGTCATGCAAGGAAAAGACTGGGCTCAGTCTTAAGACATTTCACTAGTGTCTGTCGATATATACTGCCTAAACTTGCATGAGCTTTAGACTATTGGATAATGCACCAGTGGGCTTCCAATATCCTTGACCTGCACCTCGACTATTAAGGAAGTAGGAAAAGAAAAATTAGTTGAAGGAAGGCACTTTTGATTATCTCAGAACTTGAACTTACAGCCCTTGGTAATTCAGCAGATGGTTTTCAAATTTTCCAATTGTATAAGCTGTGTTGAGAAGTAAAAACTTTCAGAAAAAGAAGTCTAAGAAATAGTATTACCAGATTAGTCACTTGCCACTATGAAACACATTTAAAGTAAAATCTATTTAACCCATTTAGGGAATCAGAAGAAATATCAAATTTGGTAGACTTAATCACAGCTATATCAGTATTATTGCATTCTCAAAGGGCCTCCTTTGAGAAATCAATAAAGCAAAAGTTTTTATTCAAAAAACATTTTTGTTCCTCACGTAATTGCATCACATGTTTAATTTGGTCGTTTTTAATGGCTGCTTTTATTGGACAAAATTAATATTGCCATGTTTTCAACAATATGATTTTGGCATTTACCTTGCAACTGAGTTGCTTCGCATATCATAACGTTATTAACAAACAAATCGAAAGTGATTCTTTCTACTAAAAAGGCAGAAGTTAGTTAAAAAAAATGCAAATTCAATTATTTTCCTCTACTGTCTTTCATTTACACTAGTCCCAAATTCAAATAACTGCCTCAGTGTGGCGGGTGAGTAAGATGAATTTGCATTATATAGAACTTTATAAAAACAGGTAACTCAGTCCAATAGGTCAGCTTCAGAGTTTATGAACCAGATGAATCTCCTGACACCTCATTTCATCCCACCCTATAAACTGGTTGGGGGATCCCAAACAACTATGATGCAGCAACTCGTAAGGAAATTAATATGTACACATGCTATGCTTATACGGGTTCTCTAAATCCAACACTAATCTCGTCATGCCCTGGCTTGATGGTAATGGCAGAGAATGGGATAAGCTACGCCCATGGTTACAGATTATGAGGCAATACAATTCTGCTACAACTGATAGTCAACACTATCGCACGAATGATAAGTTTTCAGCTGGAAGATCTGTTCTAAATCTCTGCCATTCAGCCTAGTAGCAATTTTATGCAACAAAAAGAGTGCTTTCACTGTGAAGAGAAGGATTCATTTCCACAATGATTACTATATTTCTTACTGAACAACACTAGCTGCAATTAAAAAAAAACACATGGTTGGCTGTAAGGTGCTTTGGGACAGTGAGGACATGAAAGGCATTACTTAAGTGCAAATCTTCATTTTCCTTACTAATAATGGAACCGCAACTGTCACATTTAATGTACAATTATTAAATTTTCATAGCAACCTATACAATAGACATAGCTCTATGTCACAGTCAAAAAGCAGAACTAGATATGCTAGATTAATAATTACCCAGAATTCTTTGGCTCATTATCTCGAGGACTTCCACCTTTCAGCTTTCTCACTAGTTTTTCACTACTACGTCTGATGGAGGCACGCAGTTTGCTGAAGGAGCCACTCCGCTTCAAAGATCCAGTTCCATCCTTTAATCCAAAACGATATGAAATAAATCAATTTGATCAGCAAAACATTTGCAGTAAGACTCAATGCTACTGAACAATGAACCATAACAAGAACAAATGTTCTTTAATAAAGCTACTAATAAGTTCCATGTTCCTCTTTCATGAAACAGAAAAGAGCCCAGCCAACTACCAATTTTCATACAATTCACTGCATGCCCACTATATCTTTTAGCTCCAAAATTCAACTATGAAGATTTTTAAAATTACTACACCATATAAAATCATTTTCCAATTTAAAAAACCTATTCAAGGATCCCAATTATTGAATTAAATCAGTTATCTACAATAGATATTCTGATCCGAGGACGTATATCTATTCTTCGCTCCAGGAATGCTGCCTTATCTAAGAAGTACATGCAGCATGCTTTATTCTAAATCTGACCTGCATAATGAACTGTATTATAATAATTTTCAACAGGGATAATTACAGGTTAATCAACTATTGCTAATCAATAAATTATAATGGTCAATATAATCTGCATTGTTCATACATCTTTCACTCATTAATTAAGGATCCAATATCATTTATTTTTTATCAACATGTTTGACATAATGAATATAAACTGTCTGATAACTTAGCTTATTGCCTTTTTGATAAGCCATGAAAAATGATATTAATTGGTTTTAAATATCCCCGAAATTAAATAATTAACCAATTTAAAATACTTTGATCAAAAAATCTCGAAATTCAAGTTTGCCAAATTTTCTCAAACAAAGCAACTAAATTATCTTCCTAATGCAGGTTAATACCTGTACACCTCACATGATACATTTAGTGGTTGTCATTACATATTTCAAATTCTAGCTAAAATGAATTACTGTGCACTTTGGACAAAGTAAAATCTCAAGAAAAGTTAGAACTGAGTATTATCCGGATGCAGGGTTTAATTACTTCTCTAGACTCTTCATGCTGTCAATATTGTATAGTTACAAAACAATGTGTTCCTTTAAATTGCTTTCTTTCTCCCTTCCTAAACATACCTACTTTTGCTGAAGTTCCATATGCACCAAGATCTCTGAAACTTCACCTGACTGGCCACTTATTAGGCATCAACTTGGGAAAAACTGTTGATGAACTATTTGCTTGTAGAACATCATTACTGAGCGAGTTCAAGCCAATTATTTTTCCAGAAGGGGTCAATGAACAGCAATCCGATTTTATTCACCTCCCTAGACCAGGGCATCAAGGCCAAGTACTTCAAGTAGGTCAAGTTTGGGTTTACTTTATTTGACATAGACCAAGAATCAAACCTGGATCAATAGTTTGTACACTTCAGTGTCACAGTGGGTGCAAACTCTAATGATCAAGAAATACGTACTTGGGGTTGCCCTCTCTACACTGCAATTTCTTTCTCCCCACTTACCCTAGCTGCTTAATAGAAACTCCCTAGACACCAAATTCAAGGTCTCTACAGGAGACACCTATAAAAGAGAAGATTGAGGAGCGGTTGTAGACTCTGTCCTTTTTGGAATTCAGGAGGATGTGGGGGATCTCATTGAAACTTACAGAACACAGAGAGGCCCCGACAGATTGGACGTGAAGACGATGTTTCCACTAATAGGAGACTAGGACCTGAAAGCAACAGCCTCTGAGTGAAGGGATGACCTTTTAGAGCTGAGATGAGGAGGAATTCAGCCAGAGAGTGGTGAATCTCTGGAACTCACTGCCGCAGAAGGATGCGGTGGCCAAGTCAGTGAGTATCTTTCAGACAGAGATAGATAGGTCTTGATTAGTGAGGGGATCAAGGGGTCCAGGGACAAGGCAGGAGAATAGCGTTGAGAAACATGTCAGTCATGATTGAATAGCACAGCAGACTCGATGGGCCGAATGACTCAATTCTGCTCCTATATCTTACAGTCTAAGCCAAATGCAAATCTATTTTAAGATTTTCTCTAATGTTTTCAAGATACAAAATGTTATCAATGATTACGGTGTGACATTTACATATGCATCACTACTTGGAAGAACAGTTCTTTCAAGTTTATTATGGCTTTACCCATCTCTTATTTGAATGTCAAATACATTAAGAGTGCCATACACACTTCTCATTTACTAATTACAAAATATAAAAGCTTTGCAGAAAGTTAAGAGATTTACAAGGACGATAAATCCTGAACTGAGAGGTCAGAACCATTTGAACATTTTTCCCTAGAAAGAGAACATTAAAAGCTAGCCTAATCATAGACAGATTTGATAAATTAGATGTAGAGAAGATGATACTACTCGTGAAGTCAGTATAAATAAGGCTGTCACTAACAAAGCCAATAAAGAAATGAAGAAAACTGTATTTAGTCAGTGGTTAGAATGTGAACCCGATCAATGCAATAAGTAAAAACAAAGGTTCGGATAAACTCAGCAGATATGGCAGAATCTATGGAGAAAGAAACCAAAGTTAATGTTGAGAGTCCAGGTCTTTCTGCTTTTGTTTCAGATCTACAACATCCGCAACATTTTTGTTTTTATTATATGGAGTAGTTGTGCTGAAAATCATTGCTGCATTTAAGGGGATGCTGGTTAAGTACATGAACAAGTGTAGAATAGAGAGTAGAATAGAGAACAGAATAGAGGACATGTTGATACGGTGTGATGAAAGAAGGTGGGATCAACTGAAGGTCTGTTTCTATGCTATAGGTGCTACTTAATATTGCTTTTAAAAGAAGGCCAAACAGTTTTTCATCAAGGGGAAAAAAAAGCAAATTTTCCTTCTTAGAAATCATTTGTGAATTATACAACATAAAGTTAAAATTATCTTGAAGTTTATCTTTTCTTCTATTTTCTCTCCTAACATTTTAAACCGTGGAATAAAATTGTTGTTCATCCGTCAAAATGTGAATGCTAATATACTATAACCCTTAAAAATCTTAGTGGCATAGAAAAATAAAATCTTTCAGCTGTGTTTAAATGTGTTAAAAACCTTCACACATCTTGAATGATGCTCATTATATTATAAAACCCAACACATTTACTTCTATTTAGTTAGGAAATAGAGATAGAAAAAAAACTGAACTTAATTTTTCTACCTATTATTCAGTGAAAACTTTAATAAAACACAAGTCTGCTTAGTCAATAATGGTTAAGACTGATTAATAGTTATACCCAGCTAGGATGTCCTATGTTGTAGGGAAGAAGAATGCCTTACGATTATGCTGTCAAATTTATAATGATCTATTTAGCAAATCCTGGAGTTCTAGAATGCTATGTGCAGGGTAAACTGAAGAAGTAAGCAGACCAGAGTCAAAGACAAATTAGTGAGACATTGAGCTAGTTTATTAAGAGCTAGAAACAAAGACAATCACACATACCACTAGACAGTCGAGAAACCAGCACAGATCAGTTAACTAACGCACCACTTTAAACATGAATTCCACCCAGAATAAAAACATTTTAACAACATTCTTAAAAGACCTCTAGATAGGCAGTAAGTTAATGTATTGAAGACAAAGAACATGCCTTTTTTTTTAATAGATTCTGGCTGTATATCATGCCGTACTACTTAATCAGTATTTTTCCCCATTTGAGAGTAACCATTATTGGTCCTTTTAAGGATAAAGCATTAGAAAATCTACCTTGCAATTATATAACAGAGATGCCAAGCCATAAAATGCTCAAATGGTGCTCGCTTATGCCTGAATTTACTAATATGACTGTAATAAAATTAGAACTCCTCAGTTTTAAATAAGTGTTTTAATTTTAAAAGTGTGGGTCTCCTATGATTTATAACCTGCTGGCATTTCTGTTAATGCAAAAATCAGTCAATTGTGGAAATGAATACAGTTTTAAACAGACATGTCAAGGCTACACGTATACAATAAACTACAAGAATTATCATAGAATTACAACGGCCTTGAAACAGTTCTCAATAAACAAAGTATAGTGTAGACAAAGTTACAGATTGCAATAATGCACAGAAGTTAAGCCTCAAGACGGTGCATGCCCTTCATGCCGGGAACATATTAGTATCACAAAGAGCAGCTATGCCTGGCAGACAAAAAAAAGAGGAGAAGCAAGTCAAAACTGTTGCAAAAGCTTCAACAGTTTCAATTGTTTAAGGAAATTACACAAACAGTATTTCTAGGTCAAATGAAGATCACACATGCTGCTCATCATTTACTATTCCAACACATGATTAAATCTGTGAATAACTAAACTCATCTGTTGGATGTACTGGTGTTATTATGCTGCCCTTAAAAGTGGACAGGAGGACCGGTGGCAAAAGCTAGCAAGAAGAGGTTCAGAAAGCAAGCAGAGACAACATGAATGGATAGCAATTGGAATGGAAAAAAGTGATAGAGGAATAAAACAGGAAAGCATGCACTCGTAAGGTACCTTTCTGCTCTGACAAGGAGCATTGCAGTTAATTTATTCTTCAAGTGTAGTCACTGTTGTAAAGTAGAAAATGCAGCAAGACACCTCAAACAGTAATGTGATAATAACCAGATAATCTATTTTAGTGAGGTTCATTTAAAAATAAATACTGGTGAGGGCATTTACCAAAGTTTTTTCTGCTGTCCTGAGAAATAGTACCAAAATAATGCTGTGAAACATTTTACACCCACAAGAGGAAGGGTTATTGAGAAAGGCCACAAGATTCATTCTGAATGTGAAGCATCTTAGTTATCAGGATAGCAAAAGAAACTGGCACTCTATATGCTAGAGAAACACTGACTCAAGTGATTTGATCAAAGCTGATCAGGTAATGAAAGGAATAGACTAAGTTTCTGTAGCTTCTATAATAAGGGAGTATCAAGACATGCATGGCCAGATTGATATTAGATGTCAAGACCTGAATAGTTTCATATACAGCATTGGATCTTTGGAATTGGCTGCCAGCTCATGAAAAGTCAATTTGCCGAAGTCCTTCAGGCAAGGAGTAGATCAGCTTCTGATTTTAGGCAATCTCTGCCTCAAATTGTATGTATTATATAGCAATGATCCAGGCCAAAGTGGTCTCCTCAACTAG